GAGCTCCGGTATTGAGAGGTGACATCAATGCCGGAGTGGGGACACGCCTAGCATCGAGAGGTGCCATCGATGCTAGGGTGGGGTGATGTGTTCGGGCGGAGAAAAATAAAAAGATACTTATGCCGGATTCCGAGTGTGTGCGGAGTAGATGGAATCCGAGGAGAGAGGTGGTTGTGCTACGCACATGGGGAGTACCTACCTACGCATGGTGCGCGTAGAGACGATTTGACGGACTCTGTCCTGCGACATGTCGTACGGCCGACTTGTCGTACGGACTTGTTTGTGATTGCTGCGTACTTACAGTGATTTATGTATTCAATTCCTGTTTATTAGAATATTAGTACATACACACATATATCTATATGTTTGTGCTTTCCCTGGCACCATGAGAATGGAACTCCGGGTTACGCCCGAGTTCACTCTCTAAGCAATTAGCTTAGGACGTTGTTACGCAACGTTTCAGGTCGTGAGCAACAGTAGCCGAGGAGCGGACATCGAAGACTGGTGTGACCTGCCGTGTGATCATGTATAATTATTCTCTACGGTACAATTACGTTTTCGGGGAACGGTTTGTGTTATATCGGTGGTAGACTTTTATGGTTTGTAATAATGTGATACTACCACTGTGTATGTATAATTATAACTGGAATAATGTACCGTATATGTATGTAAGAAAGTTTCTTCCGCTGAACTCTAAAAATAAAAGTTTAAATTCCCGCGGATTTTTTGGAAATGCGATTTTTATTTTACTTGTCCATGTGGCGCAACTTGTATTGCGGGATACGGGTTTCGGGTGTCACAAGTTCCATCCGCAATGGGTCAAGAATCCGGCCGTGGCTCTATGGCCGAGGACCTCAATCTGTGGCGCCCATTTCACTATCTTTCCCTTCTCGTCCAAATTTCTCATCAACCCTTCCGAGATTGTTTCGGTCCAGACAATGTCTCGGATCGAACCGGGCCTTACCGCCCACAAGAAGGGCTGGTCGCATCTGCTTAATCCCCAAGCGATCTCCATGAACTCGGATTCGCTGATCGTTGCTATGCTTCCTAAGCTTACGTAGATCACGGATTTGTCTTCTTGCTTGTCTAACCATGGAATGCAGGTCTCGTCAGGTGCCAGCAAGCTGCTGGTGGAGCCGAGGGCGGAGTGGCTGTGAAATGGGCCAATTGGGAAGATCGGGACAGGAAAGGTTTCACGGCATTGTCCGAGAGAATCTCGTTCGAGTTCTTCACAAGACATGAACACGAGGCCTGAAGATGCCTTGGTCGTTTCAAGCATCTTGAGCAGTGATTGATCGAGTAATTCGGAATCTCCCCATAGAATTCCGGAGAGATCTTTCTTCTTGAGTGGCGGGAACTCTGGAACAGGCTCCTCTGCTTCGGAATCTGAAACAAAACATCCGCAGAAAAGTGAAAAGAACATCACTAGTCTTGTCTTCTCGTTATCCAAGCTGCCAGGTGTTGTTCGATAGCAGGGTCTTGAAGGTGTAAAAAAAAAGAGGAGAGTTCTTCGTTTGATTTGGGAATTAGGGTTCTTTCTGGGTTTCTTCCTTCTCTGGGATCAAACGGAAAATAATCGAAATCTTGACATGGGTTTGACGTTTTCTAATAGAAGACTATGTCTTTGGGTTATTTCCGGTTTAATTGGTTTAGTTTGGTTAAGTATTTCTGGTTTAATTTTCTGTTTTGGTATTTTTGAATTTCAACTTGTATAAGAACGCATTTTTCAGTTTGGAGGAATATACGGAAAATTTGGACAAATTGATTTTCATTCTCTCTCAAAGATCCTCAGGTCTTTTTCATTATGGTATCAAGAGCCCGAACGATCTTCAGATTCACTTGATTTCTGAAATTGTTTGTGGTTTACGATGTCGATTCCTGAAGATTTGTTAGAATCTCATATCAATTCAGCGCCAAATTCATCATCCGCGATGAATTCATCACTCGATCCATATGCAAATCCTCTGTATCTTCATGCAGCGGATTCTTCAAGCTTCATTTTAGTCAAAGAGCAGCTTCTGGGAGAAGCGAACTACAATGTGTGGTCCAGAGCCGTTATGAAGGCTCTAAATGCGAAGAACAAGCTCCGTTTTGTTCTCGGCAAGATTCCTCGACCAGAAGACGATGATGATGATTCTCCATGGATGCGATGCAACGATCTGGTAACTACCTGGTTAACGAATTCAGTTTCATCTGAAATTCGTACTCAGATTTTATATTTGGATTTAGCTCCTGAAATCTGGAAAAATTTGGAGAAGAGGTTTAAGCGTACCACTGTATCAAAGGTGTATTCTGTTCAGCATCAGCTGGATTGTTTACATCAAGGATCACTATCTTTGAATGCTTATTATTCTAAGCTTAATGCCTTATGGGAAGAGTTGAAAAATTATGTCTTTGGGTTATTTCCGGTTTAATTGGTTTAGTTTGGTTAAGTATTTCTGGTTTAATTTTCTGTTTTGGTATTTTTGAATTTCAACTTGTATAAGAACGCATTTTTCAGTTTGGAGGAATATACGGAAAATTTGGACAAATTGTTTTTCGTTCTCTCTCAAAGATCCTCAGGTCTTTTTCATTATTTTCTCCCATTTTTTATGAAGACCAACAATTATATCCAGTAACCGAACCCTAAAAATCCAAACTTTCTTTCATTGTTCGCGTAAGATTGAAGCTTGGATTTCGACGAAACCACAAACACACGCACGAGAATGGAAAGCATCATCATACCTTTCACCGGAAAATACCCTTTACGGCGAAGCTGAGGAAGAGACAGATGCCGAAGAAAGAAAGTGACTGTGTACGTATTGAGAACTAATCTTGGGAGATCAAAACTCGCTGCTACCGCCTGAGTGAAAAGCCATGCGTGATCATCGATCAGACAGTTAATTCTCCCTTTCTCTATCTCTGAATCGCTGGACGACAGCAATTCGGACAAGCAATCGCGGAACGGCGATTCGCAGTTGCGATTGAGAAGCGAAAGGAGAAGGGCAACGTCGGAAGTGGAGGCCTCTGTTTCAGACAAGCCATCGGAGATCTGTAAGAAGGTGAAGAGAGAGTGGTCGGAAGGTTTCGGCGGCGCGTTGAAGCGCGTGTGGATTACAACGATGGAGAAGCCTTTGGAGCGGAGGATATTGGCGAGATCGAGGGTAGGGTTTATGCAGCCTTGTAATGGAAGTGGAAACAGAATAATTACTTTTCCCAGTTCATCGTTTTTCTTCTCCATTGAAGCTTTCTTCTCGCTTGCAAAACCAATGGATAAAGCTGATGGAGAATGGTGACAGAGAAAGAAATTACAGTCCATTGATAAGAAGCATTTGTGTTCGGTAGTGTGGCAAGAAGACGACAAGGAAAGATTAGGACAACTGACAACAATTAGTGGTGTTTGTTTATGCCTTAATCATAAAATCCAATGCAGACAACGGAATTTGAAGAAGACGAACACAACAATTTTGAAAGATTTGAACATGGAAACAGAAGAATCTTTAGGGCAGGAATGATGATATATGATCGACCAGATTATCAAGAGATCTGTAGGATGAGCCTCCTTGTTTGACAGATCTTCCAACTTCGTCTTTCAACAAGCTCATCCTCTCTCGGATCTCGTTTCCTTCGGATTCCACCATTAGCCTCTTGACTGCTCGCTCGATCTCCCTTCTATCGACCCGATCTTCCAAATGGATCCCAACCCTCCATTCATCACTGATGAATCTCGCGTTCAGCATTTGGTCCCAAACGCGAGGGAGGCATATCATAGGGACCCCTTCGCATATACTCTCGACCGTCGAGTTCCATCCGTTGTGCGTCAAGAACGCTCCCGTGGCTCGGTGCCCAAGAACCTCTTGCTGTGGCGCCTATTTTACGATTTTGCCCCTCGTCCCGACTCTTTCCATGAACCTTTTTGGTAGCGGCTCGATCCACGTCGAGCCACTGACAGAACCAGGCCGAACCACCCATAGAAAAGGCTGGTCGCTGTTGCTTAGTCCCCAAGCAATCTCCAAGAACTCCGGCTCGGTAATGCTCACTTTGCTCCCGAAACTCACATAGACAACCGATCTGTCCACTTGCCTGTCTAACCAATGAACGCAGGTCTCGTCTGGTGCGAGCAAGCTGCTGGAGGAGGCCGAGAAGTAGCTGTGAAATGGGCCTATGGAGAAGATCGGAAAGCGAAAGGCTTCACCGCATCGAACCAGTGAATCTTGGTCGAGTTCTTGGCAAGACATGAATATGATCCCTGAAGACGCCTTGATGTTTTCAAGCATCACTGGCAGGGATGGATCCAGTATCTCTCCGTGTACGGCCAAGAACCGAGACAGATCCTTCTTTCTGAGAGGCGGAAACTCTGGAACAGGGTCATCTTGTTCGATCTCTGAAACATAACCAGACACAGAGCTAAAGCACAAAGTGTAATAAAAAGACTGAAAATGAAAGATCAAAGATCTCAGAAGACCATGCCATGGACTTGAAGATATTCTTGACGACGTCGGAGCTGGGGAATGAGGAAATGGCCAAGAAAGAAAGTGACTTTATAAGTGTTGAGGACAAATCTACGGAGACCAAAACACTCGGCCATTGAAAGAGTGAAGACCCAGTTGGAATCATCGATCAGACAGGCGATTTTCTCTTCGGTCTTGTCCGAATACTCGGATGACGACAGCAACGTAGCCAAGCATTCTCGGAACGGGGACTCGCAGTTTCTGTTGAGGAGCTTAAGCTGAAGGGTGACATTCTTAGTACGGGCTTGGGCTTCAGACAAGCCGTCGGGGATCTGTAAGAAGGTGAAGTGGGGATGGCTCGAAGGGTTAGGCGCGTGGAAGCGCGTGTGGATTACAGTGACGGAGAAGCCTCTCGAGTGGAGGATCTTGCCGAGCTGAATCATTGGGCTGATGCATCCTTGTAATGGAAGTGGGAAGAGTATAACCCTTTGCCGAATCTTGACCTTCTCCTCCATTGATATAGCAGAACTGCTTCTTCTTCTGTGAACTTCTGTGTCTTAATTATAAGAGGTCTCTCCATAAACAGTTGTGTGTGTGTGTGTGTATATATATTATATTCACCACTAGACGATGACGATGGTGATGATAATGAAGATGATGAAAGGAGACAAAACTATGGCTGTATTTTGTGTAACTAAATGATTTCCCAACTTGCAAAAGAAAATAATTTTAAAAATACCATAGCTTTATGCCGCTATTTATAATCCTGTACCCAATTGAATTTTGGTTTAAAACGTGTGCATGATATAATATGTTTTCCCCTTTATCACATAAATATTACGTGGATTTATATTAATTAGTAGATTAAAAACTTCTATATTGATCACCTTATATTGATATAAGATAGTGTGCATATATATATATATATATAAAGATACATCAAAATAATATTTTTTATCTACGTCTTTTAAAACCAAGGTGTATGATATATATATATATATATATATATATATATATATAAACCATCTACTGTCTTCGGATGGACTAACGGGCCTTGGCCTTGGGCCTTAAGCCTCGTGCCTCTTCTTTGGTGGCCCATTATATGTTACAACAAGCCCAATACATTGGTCCACATTATTTTTCGGTTCTAAAAAAATCTAGATCCATCTGCTTTTTGCGTTATCTTCGGTTTAATTGGAATTTAAATGTTCGTTTTCAAGAAAATTTTTTAGGGTTTTAGGTTATTTTTATATTCGATTACATTCGAATTCTGTACTTTAAAAAAAAAAAATCGATTCTTGATTCGAATTGGGTAATTTGATATTGGGTTTACATGAATTAAGTTTATATATAACCCAACCGAATATCCACCCTTTAGTTACTGATTCGAATTTAATGGAAAATACATTTAATTTATTCAAAATGAAGGAAAAGGATACAAAAAATAGAAAGAAGACTATAACGAGAGAATATGAGGAATTAAGTTTCCGAGCGTACAATACGATGAGCCTCCTTGCCCGAGGCATTCCTCTGCCGTCTTCTTCATCTTCCTCATCCTCTCTCGTATTTCCGAGCTCGCCATTAGAACCCTAATCGATTTCTCTATCTCCTTTCTCTCGATCTTGTTCTCCAAATGCAAGCCTATTCTCCACACATCGCTTATATACCTCGCGTTCACATTCTGGTCCCCGAAAGACGGCATACATATCATCGGAACGCCTTCGCATATGCTCTCTAACGTCGAGTTCCATCCACAGTGCGTCAGGAATCCGCCCGTTGCCCCGTGCCCCAAAACCTCGAGCTGAGGCGCCCATCTCACTATTTTCCCCCGACCCTCGAGACTTTCGACGAACCCTTTCGGTAGAAGCTCGATCCATTCTGAACCACGGACTGAACCGGGTCGGACCATCCACAGGAAAGGCTGGTCGCTGTTGCTTAGGCCCCAAGCAATCTCCAAGAACTCGGATTCGTCGATCGATGCGATGCTTCCGAGGCTTACGTAGATTGTCGAGTTTGGCAGTTGCTTGTCTAACCAGGAAACACAAGTCATGTCCTGTGTCAGTAAACTGCTCGATGATGCTGAAACATATCTGTGGAAAGGTCCTATGCAGAAGATTGGAACTCCTGGAAATTTTTTGTGGATTTGATAGAGAGAATCCATTTCGAGTTCTTCAATGGTGTTGAATATGATCCCCGAGGAAGATTGCAGCGCTTTGGACAGGCTGCTTAGTAGTTTGTCCAATGATCTTGGATCCTTCGTCTCGATCCATGGAAGATCTTTCATTCTGAGTGACGGGAACTCCGGAACTGGTGACTCTGCCTCGGATTCTACAATGTGAAAATCAAGAAAGCGATGAAAAAAAAGGGGTACAATCATGGTGGGTATGAGTCGGGTATCCGAGAAATATTAGGGTATCGGATATTTATACACGGATTCGTAAGCAATGGGGTCGGGCATCCGAGAAAATGGTCAGATAACCACGCGCTCATACCCGATCCACGGGGATTAATACATAAAAACTACTCGTCCCCTACTCGCATTGACTCGGGTATCCATGAGCATATGATTTTCGGGTATTTATAGTATGATCTCTACTTTAGGAAAGTGTACGTACCTTGCAGAGGAAGGTACCCTTTCTCACGCAGAACATGAAACTCTGCGAAGGGGACAAAGGAGCAAAGGTTACTTGTCCGGAGAACGATCCTCGAGATTCCGATCTTCGCGGTGACATCGGCAGTGAAGTACCAAAGAGCATCCACGACCACACAACTGGCGCCGGATTCTTCGGACAAGATATCTCTCAAGCAGTCAGCGAAAGGGTCAGCGCACTTGGAGTTGAGGTCGTGGAGAAGCTCGACCACGTCAGGGTTCGAAGCCTCGTTTTCGGACAAGGCGTCGGTTATCTGAACGAATCTGAAGTCGGGGCAGTTCCAAGAGATTGGGAAGTTGAACTGCGTGTGGATGACGGTAACGGAAAAGCCTCGGCGAAACAGGATGTTGGCCAGCTGAAACATGGGGTTTAAGTGGCCTTGCAAGGGGAATGGAAAGAGCACAATCGCAGGTTTTGTTCCTTTGTTCTCCATTTTCGCTTCTGTTCTATTCGTGTTTGCTTTGTTACAGTGTTATTGTTATATACATACGAGATGGAGCAATACGTCAGTAAACTATACGTCATATTATGATAAATTAATTGAATAGAACGGTCCATGAATTATGATTAATAATTGGGGGGAGATCACGTGAATCGGGACATTTAATTACGCGTACTTGCATGGTGTTTTTTTGTATTTAAAGAACGACCAAGACCATGTGGGGATGCCTTTTATAGAATTGTTATATATATATATATATATATATATATATACACACGATATTTTAATATTTTTAAATCACGATATAACGCCATCAAAACATTAAAAAAATACGGCTAATTTTTTTTCGCTAAGCGAATGCTGTTATATAGCGGATTGTTTTATTATACCAAACGGTTTTTGAATCATTTGAAATTGTTAAATACCATACAACGAATCGGATATTAAAAAAAAAACTATTACATGATGCTAGCATCTCAATTATTATTATTTTTTTAAAAAAAATTTGGCCAAGCTAGTTAAAATTAATTGTGTTCTGAGTTCCTCGGTGAGAAGGGATAACGTGAAAAAGTCTAGAAGCAATTTGACTTTGATTTTTTTTTATTTGAAGTGGGTTTTAATAAATATTTTTAAAATATGTATATATATATATATGTGTATATAAAGAGAAAATGATCAAGTAGTGACTGACTTTATTGTATAAAACTCCAAAACAGGTCGTTGACTTGTCGTTTTTGGATTCACGTGATTTATCTATTTATTTATTCAAAATCTTAATGCGGACTTTGCTAACCAAATAAATAGCTTCTGCACCAGCCTCCTTTTTTTTATTCTAATGTTACAAAAATATCTCTCGGTTCCCATATTATTTATATAGATATAGTTCGTCTTTATCCAACAAAAACTCGGATCCTCGATTGTTTGTGATCGAAAATTAAAAAATTTTCTGATGTATTTACAAATGAAATAAATAATTCTTTAAAATACATTGAAACTTGAAATCGCAAAAACTTAGAAAAAAAAAAAAGATAAACAAATACAAAAAAAGTCCAACCTCCATACCAAAAAAAAATCCAACAAACGAAACCAAACTTATATAACCGGAACTCACCAATTAATTAAACCGGATGAAATCCAGCTAAATCAGCCGAACAGTACAAATTATTCCACGAACTTTTACTTACTACAAATTATAATATAATATTTACATTATATATCATATAATATATGCAGTAGTTACGTTTTATAAATTTGGATATCATATTTCAGAATCCATACATATTCCCTTTTTACACTCTCCCACTCAAGCCATCAAACGTAGTTATAACCAGAAGCCCCAAATAAACTATGATATTTCAAATGTTGATATCTAGATAAATTGTCAATTATTATAAATACCTAATATATCATAAATTTATATATAAATATTAAAATATATAACCAATTTATATTAAACTTTATCCGATATATATATTGGCCCCTCGCCTCATCACTTTTTCACCCACCCTCTCGGTCGGTTTAATCCGTAATCATCCGAACATTTGAAATATCTAAAAATATCCAAAGTTTGAATATTGAAATAATACGAATCCAATGATAAGCTCTAAACACTAGATTTAGAATCGAATATTCCAAATTTCGACCGTCTTCAATCTGTTAAAAAATATATCTATGAATGTGAGAGGATTCTAGTTTACCCATGTTGTTTTCTTTATATTTTCTAATTGATATAATTAATATTCTCCTAATTAATATAATTAATTAACTTTAACGAACGAATTAATATATTCAAATTTCGAATTTTAGCATATCATAAAATTAATGAGGAATCAAATCACTCGAATAACAATATGTAACCTCCCAAAAGACGTACATGAGATCATGGACTGGTAAAGGTAAAGTTGTTAATTACGGCAATTTTATTTTATTTTATTTTCACATATATGATGACACGTGTCGACAAATGAAGGTATCAACGTGTCAATCTTGGATCTTTGACTTGGCAATAAAGACAAAACACAAAGCAAAATAAGCTCCCCATTTTCTTCCTCGCTCGAGTAATCAGCGTATCGTCTTCCTCCCCAAACACAGACGATTCGATCAAACGCGATCTCAAATTTACTCTTCATTGTTCCTTCTTAGCTCCAACAATGGCGGAGCCAAACCCTAAGAATTTCCCCATCCTCTCCTATGTATTGGCCCGTTTACCCACCTTCGGCTCCAGATCATCCTCCTCGAGCCCTACCTCGCCGTCCTCCGCCGCTGCCTTCGATGTCGAGCGACAAAATGCGTCGCCGAAATCCAATCCGTCTTCGTCGGCGACTCAATCGATCGAGATCGTGACCCAGATGCCTCACCTGGCGCATCCCGATGTGTTGGCATCGATGACCAGCGCGATATCCGACGTTGCCCAGACGCGATCCGTGCTTCGAACCCTAGGTCCGCGACCCGATCACGAGACCGTCGACAAGGCCCGCTCGAAACTCGCAGATATCGAGGCATCGCTGTCGGAATCTTTCGAGGAGATCGCGCTGTCGCCGACGGACACCGATGTGGTGGCGAAGGAGCAGAAGAGGCGCGAGACGGTGGATCAGGAGAAGACGTGGTACAAATCGATTTTGCAGCTCGACGAGCTCCACGAGGCGTACGGGAAGCTGTTGAAGGAAGCGGAGGAGAGGTTGGTGAGGATCTACGAATCGGCGGAGAAGGACGCTGCTGCGGCGGCGGCGGAGGAGAACGCCGCGACGGAGGAGGTCAATGAGGAGGTTGTGGGTATACTTCAGCACGCGTCGGCGAATCCATTGGAGCGCGTTGATTTGTCTGGGAGGAAGCTGAGATTGATCCCCGAGGCATTTGGGCGGATTCAAGGGTTGCTTGTTCTTAACCTGTCGAACAATCAGCTTGAGGTGAGGCCTTGTCTCTTCTAAAAAGAGATCAAAATCTCTCTATTCAGGTTTTGGATTCCGCGATTTATCTGATTCTTTCGGTTGTTAAGCATCTTAGAGGTCGTAACATTGAGTTGAAAGATGAGGAACAGGATCAGTTATCAATGGTGCATTCATTTGGTTTCTTTACTTGTCTGTGCTCTCTTTAATGGCGATATGGGTTTCCTTGGGGTTGAAGATAATGAAAATCACTCTCTGATTTCGAGTTTAGTGTTCCAAAAAGGCGGTCTTGCACACAGAGCAGTTTCAAGAACTCGGTTTTTGTAAATCATAGAGGTAGATTCGTTGGCATTACATCAAACACTGTCGTTTGAAGAATGATTCCGATGGGTATGCAGAGATATCAGCTTTGTGTTACCGCCAGCATTTTGATTGTGGCTCTGTGCTTCAGTGCCTATTTGTCCAAGAAACATGAAATCAAGTAACTCAAAAGCTAACACCTCATCCACTAAATTTAGCTATTATAAGAACAGGGTAAGGTTTTATCTTTTGCTTGATTGTTTCTGTGATCTAGTTCTGTTCGCTTTTTTTATGCCCTTGTTTCGGGGCTGAAGTGATCGAGAAAGACGTTGAAAACTCGGTTGCTCCTGAAGATCTTGCCTTTTTTTTTGCATCTCTTTCCTGACCCTGGTTATATCAAACAGGCCATTCCTGATGCAATTGCTGGATTGCAAGATCTTGTTGAACTGGATGTTTCCTCAAATCTTCTGGAGTCATTACCCGATTCAATCGGACTGTTGACCAAACTGAAAATTCTCAATGCCTCGAGTAATAAGCTCACCACCCTGCCTGATTCCATCTGCAATTGTGGGTAAGTTCGATTATTAGTTTCAAAGTTTAATTCTTTTCTCACTCTGCATACGAGTTTCGTTGTTAAAACTTGCGGTCCATTTCCATGCATTCTGTAGGTCGCTGGTCATCTTGGATGTGAGCTTCAACCGTCTCTCGTACTTACCGACCAACATCGGGTTTGAGCTGGTGAATCTAGAAAAGCTTCTGATCCATCTCAACAAGATCCGATCTCTTCCGACTTCAGTCGGTGAAATGAGGTCTCTACGTTACCTCGACGCCCACTTCAACGAGCTATGCGGGCTTCCAAATTCTTTCGGTATGCTGACAAATCTCGAGTACCTCAACCTGAGCAGCAACTTCAATGACCTGACAGAACTCCCGGCCTCGTTCGGAGAACTCATCAGCCTCCAAGAACTCGACCTGAGCAACAACCAGATCCACGTCCTGCCCGACACATTCGGGTCACTGGCGAGCCTGACCAAGCTGAAGCTGGACCAGAACCCGCTGGTGATGCCGCCGGAGGAAGTGGTGAAGGAAGGGGTGGACGCCGTGAAAATGTACATGGGGAAGAGATGGATCGGCATTTTGGAAGAGGAGGAGAGGAAACTGAACGTGAAGGACGAGATGGAGGAGACTAACACAGGCTGGCTCACTCGAACCACCTCCAAGTTGAAGACCTACGTCTCTGAGGTCTCCGAGTATCTCGGTTCCAAATCTCCGAGAGACCCTTACCTTGACCAGCAACTTTGACTTTTTTTTTTTTTTGCATCGTACGCACCGCTCTCGAGATCCGGAGGGAAGCAGTTACGAAGACATGAACTCTCTTCTGTCCCGAGTTCCTGAGTTCTTGGGATCCTTGGTTGGCTCTTGGTTCCTGAAGAGACAGAAGAACCGGAGTGAAGTGAAAGATTTGAAATTTTGTTCCATTTGATCTGTTTATTTATTTTTTGGACCGGCAAATGCCCATTTACTAATGTTTAGTTAATTAAATATTTAATAAATGTGATGCGTGTCGTCCTCTTGGATGAAATTCTTTACCTTATACGTTATTTGTTTATTTTGTAACAATTCGTTGGGAAAATGTCTTTTTTTTTTAAAAAATAATCAATGTGTAACAAAGTTCTTAGGTTTTAGATTTTATTTGTATTCAATTTGAATTTGATTACTTTAGTATTAAAAATCATATTTAATTAATTTGAGGTTTAAAATCATGCGGAAACAATTATAGATGTTTTTTTTTTCAGTTAGATGATTCAATTTTATATATTTTATCTATATCCATCCCTAATTGATTTTCAAATTCAGCACCAGTTTTGTGGGGTTCAAAGGATTCATGACAAAACAAAAATATTATATTTTATATTAAATCGTGTAGACAGACAAAATCCACAAAAAATCCCCAATGCTTTAGAACAGAATAAAATACAGAGCCAAACGTGCGTTGCACATAGTTTGCCAAATTTAATTATATTTTATTATTTTATACTTATTGTAACAAAAAATATAGAAAATGACAACATAACAAATTACGGCGTTGAATTCCATGCAAAAAATAACAAGTTAATTTAATCATAACTAATAAAAAATAATTAATTTTATATGATTTATCGATAAAATTAAGTAATATAAAAATTATGTTTTTGAGAATCCTCTATATAATCTCATGAGATTACGATGTGCCATCATTATAACCGTGAAATTCGTAATCAACTTTTAAAAAGCTATGTTTGTATCGTGCCAAATTAAATATTTATTTTGGACTAATAAGAAATTTTAGGATTTTAAAGTTTAGATGTTATTTCGTGAATTCTGAATTTTTTTGTTATTATAAATTTTTAATATTTATGTTTGTCGAAACCTATTTCTAAAATGCCTATTTTGGATTTAATGCAAACTTTTGAATTTTGTAATTTAAATATTACAAAGGGTATTTGCATTATAAAGAAAGTTTAGACAATTTCCATAAAGAATATTTAAAAAGAAGAAAATGTAAAACAAAAGGTCAAAACCCCGATAATTTATAACTCATTTGCAAAAATAGTCCAGTTTATTATTAGTATTTTGGATCATAAATTCCTTGTATGTATGTATGTATGTATGTATGTATGTATGTATGTATGTATGTATGTATGTATGTATGTATGTATGTATGTATGTATGTATGTATGTATGTATGTATGTATGTATGTATGTATGTATGTATGTATGTATGTATGTATGTATGGTTGGAATAAATTACAATTAACAAATAATTATATACATAAATTTATAATTGGCAATATTAGATTTGTTAATTTTTTGTTATTATCTGAAGGAGAGATCCTGCCGTCACAAAATCAATAAAAATTAGGTATAAATCAATTGATATCCAAATCCAATGACTTTTCTATATTTTAAAACTCTTGATATATAATATTCATCTATAGGTTTTCAAATATATACCTTGCATGATGGCAGAAAAAGAAAGAATACATTGTATATGCAAATAAGATATGTTGCGTATGTATATAACTTTTATTACCTCTATTTCCGCCTATTATCTTGAAATTTCAAATTGATAAAAAAATATTTTATAAAAATAATGTTTTTTTAACCTTGCTTTAAAGAAATGAAACTCCTTGGGAAAATTTTTTAAAATTATTTCCATGCGGTGAGTTACGGGACAAAAAAATTACCAAATAAATTTATACGACCGGTATACATAAAGAAATAATAAATTTCATATGATTTGGTCCCTTTTTCTGCTTGTAAGGCCATTTAGTTTCACCTTAAAATAGTGATACCCAATTCCAATTCTTCCAATATTTTCATTAGAATCTTTCAACGTTAATAAAATCAATCAATTTAATAAATAAAGATTAGATCCTCTCACCCATGTCAAACAGTAGTAAGTATATATATACATACATATATACACACACAGAAGAGAGAGAGAGAGACCGTGCGGACACGACAAAACAAAAGCCTCCCACGTTTGCGGTCGGTTGGTGGTGGCGAATGTGTCTTTCTCTGAATCATCTCATAATCCGATCAAAATTTCATATAAACACAGACCAAAGAAAAAAAAGCAAAAAACCATAAACTAAAGTTAAAACCCCAAAATAAAAACTGAAGGCGGACTCGATTAATTCATTTTTAAAAAAAATTTAATCATTCCATTTTTTAAAACATCGAATTCGATTCGAACAATTAAATCCGTTCAAATATTTATTTCCGATCAAAACCCAGATCGCAAAATCCGATTTTTCAGCTCTAAATCATGAGAAAACTGTGTCCTAATTACAACCTGGAAGATGGGTTGGAGACAGTTCTCGAAGTTCCGATGCCAGAAGAGCTATTTGTGTCAACCAAGACAAAGCCATGGAACAACATGAAGTCCTACTGGTCGAGACCCGGCGCCGCCTCAGCCGCCGGAAACATGACGCGGCTCATCGGGGGCCGGAACGCCGAGATTCAGCTCCTCCTCGGCGTGGTCGGAGCTCCGTTGATCCCTCTCCCCGTCCAACCTCACAACCATCACGATTATGATGAACAACCCATCCACAAACACATCAACGACCAACCCATTGTATAAGCGAGCTCCGCCTCCTCCTCCTCCTTCCTGATGTTTTCTTTCTTAAGTGTAGTAATAGGACTGTTATTCTGAACAGGAGATGTCAATGGCGCGATACATAGTGATGCAGTACATAGCGTCGGTGGGAGGGGAGAGGGGATTGGGAAGAGTGGAGAGCATGTACGCGATGGGGAAGGTGAGGATGGTGGCATCGGAGTTCTGCACAGGGGAAGGGAGCTTGAACAGCAAGATGGTGAAGGCGCGTAGCCTCAAGAGCGGGGGCGGAGAGGTCGGAGGGTTCGTGCTGTGGCAGAAGGGCATCGAGCTATGGTGCCTGGAGCTCGTCGTCTCCAACTGCAAGATCAGTGCCGGGAGCGACGGGAAAGTGGCCTGGAGACAAACCCCTTGGCACCCTTCTCACGCCTCTCGCGGCCCCCCTCGCCCTCTTCGTCGATTTCTTCAGGTAACCCATAATTTCCGAAATCGAAATTTCAAATTTTCACTGTAAATTGATTGAAAAAGAAGCATGGAGTCATAGATTTCCACTTGGATTTTAACAATAAGCTTTTTCCTGGCCACTGATTTCCACAATTCTTTTACTTTTTTCTCTTCCTTGACTGTTGCTAAAGAACTTTCAATCAAAGCTCCTTTGGTGTTCCCATGTCTTTTTTCCATAATTTGCTGTCACATTTATTCTCTATCTCTTTTCCTTTTGAAAATGACAATCCTAATAAATAATAAATACCAAAAAATATATTTTTTAAATTACTTAAAACATCTAAAATGACATATATATTAAAAAAAACAAAAAACATTTTCCAAACGGCATGTATTGAGAAACAAATATAGAGTTTAAGTTCTGATTCTCATGATTTATGGATTAGAAATTAATCAATATATCACAGTGATACGGGGAAAAAATATAGATTCACACGTATAAATATAATGTAAAAAAACATGTTTTTATGTGAAAAAAAATGTTGAAACAACAAATAATGTAAAAAAAATGACATAGATGATGAATCTTTTGAGGAAAAAAAAAACAGGGTCTTGATCCAAAATCAACAGCGGATCTGTTCGGAAGATCCGTATGCATGGGAGAGAAGAAGATAAACGAGGAAGACTGTTTCATACTGAAGCTGGAAGCGGAGCCGTCGACGCTGAAGGCAAGAAGCAGCAGCAACGTCGAGATTATCCGACACACGGTCTGGGGATGTTTCAGCCAACGGACGGGTCTCCTGGTTCAGCTCGAAGACTCCCATCTCCTCCGGATCAAAGCCTCTGACGGAGACAGCATCTTCTGGGAGACGACGATGGAGTCTCTCATCCAAGATTACAGGACCGTGGACGGCGTTCAGATCGCCCACGCCGGCAGGACCTCGGTCTCCCTCTTCAGGTTCGGAGAAAACTCCGACAACCATTCTCGGACGCGGATGGAGGAGTCGTGGGAGATCGAGGAGATTGACTTCAACATCAAGGGCTTGTCCATGGACTGTTTCTTGCCGCCTTCCGATCTCAAGAAGGACGAGGAATCCGACTCGGGTTTGGCGGCTGACAACGAGAGGCTGCCCATGCAGATCCGAAGTGCTTCTCTGAGGATCAGTTCCACAAAGATTCTGTCCATCGTGGAGGAAGATGACGACGACGGCGAATCTGAGGACGCTGAAGAAATGCAATGAGAAAGAACTCAGATTCTTGATTTCTTGTGTACATAAGTTTAATTCTTGTTGCAGAGATTGAAAGTGCAGCAGCCACTTTATAGAATCTTTTTTTTTATAAGGTATGAGAGAATCTTTTTTGTTTCTCTGTGTTATCTGTAAATCGATGAACTTCTTCTTCAGGTTTTAATATTTTGGTTTTTATTTTATTTAAATTCAACAGCTCTAGAAACTGTGTTTTAAATTAAAACAGGGTTTCGGTTCAGATCGGTTATTATAATCCCATAACTGAGCGGTTCGGTTAGTGTAAATAACCGATCCATTTCGGTTAACCGATCAAACCGATTATAACTAAAAAAAACTATAGGGTTTGATTTTTTTAATGTAAAAATGTTGAATGGGAAGAAATTTTTTTAAAAACTGAAAAATTGCCTATCAAATTTTTTAAAAATTGAATTTTCTAAAAATCTGAAAATCTACTTTAAAAAATCAATTAAAAACCAAAATTTACATTTTTTAGATTTACAAATTTATGAAATCTGAATCAAAAACTAAAAATTAAAAAAAAAACCATAAACTAAAGTTAAAACCCCAAAATAAAAACTGAAGGCGGACTCGATTAATTCATTTTTAAAAAAAATTTAATCATTCCATTTTTTAAAACATCGAATTCGATTCGAACAATTAAATCCGTTCAAATATTTATTTACTAATCAAATTACCCATCTAACGTCCGGTGTGTTTGTGGTAAAAATATATTAAATAACTAATGCGAATGCATAAAACTGGCGTTCAGACATATCCCTGAGATCGCCGGAAGCTTCCCGGCTCCCGCGACGAGATATTCACGCTCTCTTTGTTCGTGTTGTTTGTTCTTTGCTGTTTCCGGCGAGTTTTCCCTTTGGGTCTCTGGAAAATTTCCTCGAATTGCTTACTAGAACCGTCTTTTTCTCTCAATCGCGTGATTGTTCATTGATTCGCCATTCTCTTCTTCCATATCGCGATTAGGGTTTCGATTTGATTTTGTCGAAAAGGCTCTCTGGGTTCGATTCCCTCGGCGGTGAGAGTGCTGATTTTGTGTGTTCGAAGATCGCCGACGGCGACTTTACGTTGAAGAAGGATTTTTTCCGGCGAATGTAAGGGAAAGCTTCCGACGAAGTCAGAACATTTAGATATAGTACTTTACCATCAATGCCTCTCTTGTTTGATATCTCCCTCTTTATCTCTTGAACAGATCCTGCGTTGTTTCCCCCGAAGTGAAGCTGATTCACAAGATCCATATCGATCTAATCCGATCAAAGAAATGTCGAAATTCAGAGACAGAATGGAGGATTTCAAGGATTCTGTCAGGAAATCCGCCGTTTCCATGGGTTATAACGAGGTGGATTCTCTGTCTCATCCCGTTCGATCGCGATTCTTTGATTTCTGGGTTCATGTGGTGTGAATTTGATGGATTTGCTCGTGGAGTGTTTCTAGATTTGTTGTTTGAGTCTCGTTTGGTTGTGATTTATCTGCTTCATTGGTTCTACCTCGCAGTCGAAACTGGCGGCAACAATGGCGTCTTTCATCATACATAAGACGAAAGAAAGGTCACCCTTCACGAAAGCGTCTCTGAAAACGGTAACTTTCGACTGCTTTTCTTTCCGGGCATTAGCGAATTCGAAAATCTGGCAGAAATCTGGATTGCGGGATAAGTTTTTTTATGGTTTGGACCGAGAATAATCATCGGTTGAAGGTTTGCAATGTTGAACTATTCATATGGTTTGTTCTCTTCAAATGCTGGTGTTGCATAATTCAGCTGGAAAGCATCAAGGAGTTGGAACAGTTTATGTTGAAGCATCGGAAGGATTACGTCGATTTGCATCGAACCACTGAACAAGAAAGGGATAGCATTGAACATGAAGTAAGTAATAGGAGCAACGCTCGTTCTAAATTTTGAAACTTTATGATTGTAGTATGAGTATCCATTGAGATGCGTCGTATTGATCCGTCTCGATTTCTGAATACTCGTAAAGGTACCTTTGAACTCCTTAGATAGGATGGAATTCATAATTTCATATTTCTCTCTAATGAATCTTACATGTATTTATTCGATATCCAGAACTAGGTGACGCCTGTGTTCTGTAACAACATTTTCGGCCTTTTCTCTCAGGTTACCATTTTTATTAAAGCATGCAAAGAACAGATTGATATTCTCAAGAACAGCATAAGCAACGAAGAGACGAACTCCACGAGCTGGCTTGGCCTTAAGGCCGATAGCTCCAACGCTGATACTATCGCACACAAACATGGAGTGGTATGACATGATTATGCACCGATGATTTTGGGCAGTCATTGGTTTTTTTTTTATTTTCCTTCGCCGTCTTATACCATCTCGATTACCGATGTCATTATACCTTTCTTGTTCAGGTTTTGATTCTGAGTGAGAAACTTCACTCAGTCACTGCACAGTTTGACCAGCTCAGAGCCATCCGATTCCAAGACACGATAAACCGGGCAATACCCAGAAGAAAACCTAAAAGAGTTGCCAATTCGGTTCAGCCAGATGCTGCAAGCTCGAGAAATCTTGAGTCCCGAGAACCAGAAGAACTTCAGAGCCAGCCTCTTAGAGTCCAGCAAGAACTTCTAGATGATGAAACACGAGCTCTTCAGGTAACAAATACTTCTATACGGTCTTCAAAGTTGTTTTCTGAAATCTCCTGAACCAGGAACTTTTCGGATTTTTGCAGGTAGAGCTAAGTAATCTTCTAGATGCAGTTCAACAGACCGAGACTAAGATGGTGGAAATGTCTGCACTGAACCACTTGATGTCAACTCACGTTCTACAACAAGCGCAACAGATTGAGTTTCTGTACGAGCAGGTCAGAACTCTATTAGCTCCTTCTCTCCGATATACGATATTCCGATACCGTTTTATTTTTTATGGCATTCGACTACTGTAAGTTCATACACGAGGAAATGCACTTCTCCTTGCTCAAACCCATTAGGAGCTTTGGTTTATGAATCAATCTTTGCGGGTTTTTGCGCCATTTTCCTTGCGTGAATAGTGACGGCCGAAACACGTGAATGCAGGCGGTTGAAGCAACGAAGAACGTAGAGCTCGGGAACAAAGAGATTTCACAAGCGATCCAACGGAACAGCAGTAGCAGGACCTTTCTCTTGCTGTTTCTGTTTGTTCTCACCTTCTCGATCCTGTTCTTGGATTGGTATAGTTAAATATGCCACATTGATCTCTCTTTTAGTTAAAGTTGCTCTGACCGAAAATGCAAGCAACTTCGTGTACGTACATTGATGTGAGAGAGACTAGGAAAATGCTCCGACAACATATATGTAACTTTGTATTCAGATCACTAGGTTATGATCTTTTTGTCAAGGCTGGATGTGGGTTTCCGGATTTAAGTTTTTTGCGGGTATTCGAATACCCGGGACTCGGCCTACGAGGTCGGGTCCGTTCTCGTAGCTGTTCGAGAAACTCGAGAGGGTGAGGCTAAGGTTGGATTCACCGAAAAATTCGGATTTTGGGTATGTGACCGAGATTAGAGGTGTCAATTTTGTTTTGAGGTCCGAAGTTCAATCTGGTCCAAAAAATAACGGACTTCAGACCTAAATATCCCGGTACAAAAACTTTTGAACCATATTTAGATCGGGTTTTGAATCCGTCCGAAAGCATGAATTTTCAAAAAAAATTAATAAAAAAATTAAGTTCCAAAGAACAAATTTAGCAATAAGGTCCGATCCGAACCCAACTCCAAAATTTATAAGATTGGGCTTTGGGTTTGGTTATTTAGGTCCGAAAAAATCGGACCGAACCCAAAACTGAACCCCTGGAGCCGAGTGGCGGTTCGATTTGGTCCGATTGACATCCTAAGTCAAACATCTGCCACTCTTTTTTTTATGTATAGTGGGAGAACCTGCCCTACCGTCTTTCGCGCCAGACACTGGATCCCGTAGCGGCTCCCAGCCTAATGGACCGGTTGAAAATGACATCACACAACATCGCGGACAGTAAAATCCCACTCCCACGGATACGAGTGTACAACAAACATGTAGGAGGTAAATCAACCGTAACTAACAAACGACAGGTGAGTGGTAATAAGTCAAACCGTCAACCTCTCGATATATTATTGACGATACTCATTCTCGCTCCTACCTTTTTGTTTTTCTAACCTTAACCATACATAATATATGTGTACGATATGCTGCATATTTTCGTAGATAATATCTTGAAGCCACCAATGGAGTCAACATTACTTTTTTTTTTTGCTAAATTAATTTGGTGGATAATCACCAAGTCAATGCTCAATTGCCGGAATATGGACAGTGCTCCTTGCATGACGTAAATATCATATGCGCCTCGAGTTTTCTTGTTTTTTTTTTTTCTCGGAAATTTTGCATGTATATATATATATATATAATATGAAAACTTTATTTTATTTTTATTGTTATTGTTATTTTTATACTCTAAGAAAACGCGTTAACCAGTATTTGTTTTCTTTTAATCATTTGAGCATATTATTTTCAATATATTCGAGGTTTATGGAATAATAATAATCTATGCCCTTTAAGACTTCCAATTCTACAGAGAAAATATGTTCTTTTTTTTCTTTTGTAAGTTCATATGTTATTTCTTAATACATAAACTTACCTGAAACTGTAATTTTGGGGGGTATATTCATTTCCATATGTATATGTAAACAGGCGATGATAAATGGTTTAATTTATTCAGTCCTTAATGAAAATCTCTTTTGTTTGTTACATAACCATTTTAGAGATAATTTTGTACATTTATATTCTATAAAATAATTAGAAGTCAAAGTCTCCTTTCCTTCGATGCCACTCGTATCTACGTTCTTTGATATTTCAAGGAACCAACAACTAAAGGAAATTAGAACTTATATTATATATATATATATATATTGAAATTACAGTAAAGAAAATGGGCTTACAAACAAAAGTACATCACACACCATAATCATGAGGATTATGAATCCATGAAAAAATCAATTTTTTTTATTTTATTTTAAAATTAATAAAAAGAGTTGCTGCAGCTTTAACCAAGATCCCTCCTTTCGCAGCAGAGAGGAGTTCTTCTTCTTCTTCTTATCGAAATCTTCATCTCCTTTTGTCTGTTTTCAGCATTTCCGCGTGTTTTCATCGTAACCCAGTCCTGTATTGATTCGATGGAATAACAGAAACTCCCAAATCTCTGTCCGGAATTTCTTCCTACCGGCGGCCAGATCGATTCCTTTGGCGGCAGAATCCGCAACTCCCCAGTTCGTAAAATTTCGCGGGGGTTTCGGATTTCTCCGGACACCATCGACCAGATCGATCGATATCCATTGCTGTAAACCCATTTCCGAGGAAACCCACGAGGAAGACTACAATGAAGATGGCGGCGAATGGCAGGTTGTTCACAATAGGGCTCGTAACGTCATGGTATTCGTCGAACATTGGAGTTCTGTTGCTGAACAAGTACTTGCTCAGCAACTATGGCTTCAAGTACCCGATCTTCCTCACCATGTGCCACATGACGGCGTGTTCGCTCCTCAGCTACATCGCCATTGCTTGGATGAAGATGGTCCCTATGCAGACGATCCGATCCCGAGTCCAGTTCCTCAAGATCTCGACGCTCAGCCTCGTTTTCTGTGTGTCGGTGGTCTTCGGGAACATCTCCCTCCGGTTCCTACCTGTGTCGTTCAACCAGGCGATCGGCGCCACGACGCCGTTCTTCACCGCCGTGTTCGCTTACCTGATGACGCTGAAGAGGGAGGCATGGTTGACTTACGTCACTCTCATCCCCGTCGTCACCGGCGTTATCATTGCCAGTGGGGTAAATTTTTTGCATTCCCGAACTCAAAATTTTTGTTCTTTGAGCCCTGTTCCTGTGGTGGCTATCCACGTTTCCGTATGCGTATTGAAACGGGTTCTCGTCCGATTCGTCATTTCTGTTGGCGATTGAGTCGATACGTTAAGGTTTGACGAAATCTGTGACTTTTAAGTTCATGATTGGCCAATGATAGATGTAATAGGTCTGAATCTGGATTATGTTTAGCTTCCTGGATTTGTCTCATCGCCTTCACCATATGAACTCTTATGTTTTACTAGGGGAATAGTTGTTCATGTTATCTTATGTCAGCCACAAATCCTCACTTTGAAATCCCTCTGGTTTATTTAGGATTCCATGTCGTAATCTCTAATCTGATTTTGTTTTTTTGTATTCATCTGTCCCTTAGGGTGAGCCAAGTTTCCACCTTTTCGGATTCATCATGTGCATTGCAGCTACAGCTGCAAGAGCGCTCAAATCAGTGCTTCAAGGAATTTTGCTTTCTTCTGAAGGGTAAGAGAAGGAGATGATTATATATATATATATATATATATATAGGTTTGAAGTTCTTTCCTGCAAAAGAGTGTTGTTTGGGGATTTGGTTGCTGAGAAAGCCTTTGAATTTGTGTTGAAGGGAGAAGCTCAACTCCATGAATCTCCTCCTTTACATGGCTCCCATTGCTGTCGTGTTCCTTCTGCCGGCTACCCTTATTATGGAGAGAAATGTTGTCAGCATTACACTTGCTCTCGCAAGAGACGATTTCCGAATAATTTGGTATCTTCTGTTCAATTCAGCCCTTGCGTATTTCGTGAACTTGACCAATTTCTTGGTCACCAAACACACCAGCGCCTTGACACTTCAGGTAACCTCCGTATCTCTCCCAACATTCAATCTTTTTGCCTGCATTTTTATTAGTGGCATCTTTTGCTGAAGATCCCAACTTCCTGTGTCAAAGAGCATACACATTCTAGTCGGATGAATCCAGTAGCATTAAAAAAACCCCTAATGATTTGCTTATCGGTATCGGACAACTCCTTCGATGTTTATAAAGTCGTAATCTTGTGTGTGACCCATCAGCTATTGACAGAAGGACCCTTTTGGAATTGTATCACATGTTGCCTCTCCCCAACATCCCCTTGTTGTAAACGTTTTTAGCTGTTTCTTCTCTTCCATCAGTTTCCATGGACCACTTTCCCCTACTCGAGTTTTCTTGTTTTTTTTTTTTCTCGGAAATTTTGCATGGAACTTATAGGATATCATCCATGGTTTCATGAAAATGAATCGGCATGACAGGTGCTAGGGAATGCCAAAGGCGCGGTGGCAGTGGTGATCTCGATTCTAATATTCAGGAATCCCGTCTCAGTGACTGGAATGCTCGGTTACGCTCTCACGGTCTGTGGGGTGATTCTTTACAGCGAAGCCAAGAAAAGAAGCAAATGAAAAGAAAAAAACCGACACCTGAGTTCATCATTCCTCCATATACTTGACTCTCTTCATTTCATATATATATATATATATATAGATATATGTTTTTATATTTTCTTCAATCTGGGAAAAAAAGGGGCAAGTCTCTTTGCTGTTGTGAGCAAATCCTTACACAGCATCCCCTTGCTCTTCTGCCTGTAATGGATGGGCGCCTCTCCTCTTAACAAAAAGGAAGCAACACCAGAAGCAGAGCACAGAGGATGATTGCCCAAAAAAAAAAAGAATTTAGAGGATCTCCAAATAAGTGATTCTTTTTCTTCTTCTTTGATTCCCTTTGGAATTCTCTGTTGTTTTGATTGTAGGTTTGTTCTAAGGGTAAAGAGAGATTTAGCCATTTTGATTCATTACGTTTTGGGTTAATTAATTAATGGAAAGGGCTAAGGATTTTTTCTTTTTCTTTTTTTTTGCATTTATTCAGGTTGTTCTTGCATCTGTGATCTGCCATTGAGCAACATTAATCAAACACAACTGTATCGTAAGATATGTTCCTTAAATCTCAGGTTGTGTTTTCTTTTTTTTGGGTGGGGGGTCGTAGGAGAATCTTCAAGCAGAGCATTCATCAGTTTGAGTCTGACGAGAGAGAAAGGATAACTAAAAATGGAAAGAAAACCAAAGCCAAAAATAGAAATCAGACAGGAGAGTTCTGTCTGAAACATGTCTTGTCGTCATGTTTCAGAGAGAGAGAGAGAGAGTTGGGACATTTCACTGAAGTTGTCGAAGTGATGATGAGATGAGATGAGATGGCTAAACCAACGGTCCAACCACACATTTTTACTCCAACATTCATTCTTCTGACCAATTTCGACTCGACCCCCTCTCTCTTCAACTTTTCGATATTTGGTTTCCGTTTGGCTTGAAAATAATTTGGTTCTACTGTTTCAGTTTTACAAAAATATTTATCAATCGGTTATTATATTATATTCGAATTCGGTTCGTCTTCGATTCCAAATCGATCATGTTTCGGTTTTTATTAAAAAAATTAGATTTTTCTAAGACAATTTAGATTTTTGTGATTTTTTTTTAAATTCGGTTCGATTCTGTTTAATTTTAGAAAATTTGATTTAAAAAAAATATATTAAACTGGTTCGATACTATTCGATTCTGAATAACCGTAACAAAACACTCATCTTCTAATATCAACGATGAATTTCGAATTCAAATATACACATATACTCTGAATAAATGCTGGATTGCAAATTGGAATAAAATTCTAACACAAAATTTTAAAAATGAACCTATTAAATGATAGTCACCTTCTCAAAGAACCTAAAATAATCAAAATAACGGAAAATGAATATAATTTTAATAAAATAAAATAAAAAAACAAATTAAAGATCATGAAACCGAAATATTTACCAAAAATATCTACCCTACTAGTGATAATGATCGACAAATATTGCTGTTTTATTTTTGTTTTTAGTAAGCAATTAAATTTTGTTTCAAAATGGGGATTTGACTTTTTTATTTCTATACGCTATGCTAATTAGTGATTTGCCATTTTACATAGATGCAATTTTCATATCATTTTTATGGCAGCACATTGGACCGACCAAAAACAGTATAAAATCGCCTCTCTGTCGTCTAAAATGCTCGTCGAAATCTAGAAATTGTTTCCATAACTTGCCCTTCGAGAAAAAAGGAATTTTGTCCTCAAACCGGATTAAACCGGTCTAAACCGATACGAACGGGCCAAAATCATTTGCGGCCCAACCCGGTCCATTATTCCGAAGAAAAGCAAGAAAACCTCCGTTTCGTGCGGCGCAACTGCGAACGCCAAAAAAAGGGAGAGATCGAAGAAAATCGCGATCGGCTTCGTAAAAGCCACCGTCCTGTTTCACGCCCCAAACGCTGTCGCTATTTTCCCGGTAACGTTTCCTTCTTCTTATTCTTCTTCCGCTTGGACGACCGCTCTTGATGCCCTCCGTTGTTCGTGACCCTTAATTCTCCGATTAGGGTTTCATCCCATTCCCATTCTCGCGTTTCGATTGGACTTGTGGGCCTGTTTCTTTTTTGTTGCTTGCTCTGTCTGAAACTTGACGTGATTGTTTGTGCAGAGTGTTTGTGTGTATGTAATGGTGTATGCATTCACTTGCGTTAGTCTTAGAACATAGAATACATATGTGTCTTGATGAATCACTGTGTGATTTACGAATGTATTATACATACACGCACAATGTATATATACACATAATGTATTCCAGCATTGATATGTCTCCGAGGTTGATTCTGCGGTTTGCATTCTGTGTTAGTTTCAAGGTTCTATGATCTTCTAAGGACATTCAAACTTGATACGAGAATTCTGTCATGTATTTGCTTAATCTTTCTCCATAGGATGCCTTTTGTATAAATGAGTTCTCTTTTTACATGTAGTGAAGAAAAGAGATGAGGGCTAAGGCGGTATGGGACCCCGATATTCACAGAATATTTGTGGATTTATGCGTCGAGCAGAGGCTGCTGGGGAATAAACCCGGAACGCATTTCACTAAAGAAGGATGGAGGAATATATTGGAATCCTTTCAGGAGAAGACGGGAGCCAATTACGATAGAATGCAGCTCAAAAACCATTGGGATACAATGGGAAGGCAGTGGAAGATATGGCGTAGGCTTGTCCAGTGCAGTTATATGAAGTGGGATCCCGAGACTAACACGTTTGGGGCCACCGATGAAGATTGGGACAGTTATTTACAGGTTCGGTGAAATGCCTGACCGGTCCAATCCAAATCCAACTCTTGTTACCTTGAAGATTGGTGTTCTTATGGCTAACGTGCTTTGTCATGTGGCAGGATAACCCCGATGCTGGGCAGTATCGGTTGAATCCTCCTCTGTACCTCGGGAAACTTGAAATGATCTTTGTGGGTAACGATGTAGATGCCACGGATGATGAAGTTGCGGGAAAACACCTGGTTCCTCGAACTCAATTTGTGAAATTC